TACTTGGGACTGGGAGAGGTTTCCATTCACATGGGACCTGGGTCACCTTGACCTTGAATTAGAAATTCTATAACTTATGCCCAGCCGGAGTGGCTCAGTTGGTTGAGTGTGGTCCTGTGCACCAACAGGTTGCCAGTTCAATTCCCAGTCAGGGCACATAACCTGGGTTGTGGGTTCGGTCCCAGGTGGGGGCACATATGGAAGGCAACCAACAGATGTTTCTCTCTCACATCGATATGTCTGTCTGTACTTCTCTCTCTCTCTCCCCCTCTTTTGTTTCCTCTCTCAAAGCATGTCTTTGGGTGAGGATTTTAAAAAGAAGAAGAAATACAACATCGGCTGATTCAGATCATGGCCCGAGACAGAAAAGGTTCCTGTTGGAGTAAACACTTAAAAATTCTCAACGGGGTGATGAGGACAGGAAGGGAGGTGAGGCTATTTTCCAGGGGAGGAAGAGGACCCACTTTTTGGGGAAACTCTGGTCTGTGTGGAGACCTGCCCTCAAGCACAAAAAATAACCAGGAATCTGAGCATTCACCCCCAGTCCTCACATGCGGGTACTGGCGGGAAGGGAGGGTGAATCATATCGCCATTCAAACAGTTGGAATTTTTTTTTTTGAATCTACTGCAGCGATTTTCAACAGGTGTGCTACAGCACACTGGTGAGCCACAAGAATTTTTAAAACATTGCAATACCTGACTATTTAGTCAGCGGCACGGACCTCTTTTCCCTTAGATTGTCAAATTAGAAAATGACAACAGCCAACACAACAATAACTGTTCGGTGTGAATCAATCAAATTTGTATCTTTCTTTTTTTGTCAGAATGGCAAAAAATATATTTGTTGGTGTGCCACAGTTTTAGTAATTAGCTTATGTGCCATGAGATGAAAAAGGTTGAAAGTCGCTGCTCTGTAGAGTTGAATAGCCCTGAAGAGAATAACTGAAACCCGAGATGGGAAGACAGCATGGGGGCATCCACCAAGGGGTCCGAGAAAGGACTGCAGTGGCCCGAGATGCTCTCCAGGAGGAAAGGGGCACTGGTGACTTTATCCCCAAAGCGCTGTCCAGCCACCCAGCAGCCTGGGGATCTACCAGAACCAGGGGAGGTGGGGGGGGCGGGGGGCGATCCTGCCTTGAGGAGCAACAGGACATAGAAATGCTTCCTTGCCCACAAGACAATCACCCCCACACTTTTCTGGCCAAATTCCTCCCTTATCCCATCTCCCCACCCTCTTACCTTCCATCAACTCCCCTCCCATCCTGGCAACCCCTGGGACTGTCAGGGAAGATCTCCAAGAGCCCCCTGCAGCCTTTTCACTAGAGTCCTGGGCGCTCCCCGGGCAGTCGGCCAGTGTCCAGGGCCTGCCTACTAGGCAGAGCAGATGGAGAGCGTGGCACCTGTAGAGAACACCCAGAAGGCCGGGTACAGAGCTTCAGTAAAGTCCTCCTTGTACTTATACATCACGTGGATCCTGTCAAGAGCAACAGCAAAGAAAATGACGAAGCCGTGGTCGCAGTTGAGAAGCACGCCAACGCGCGTGGCCTTGGTGGTGGGCAGGATTTTCTCCACATTGTTGTGCCAGGCGGAGATCTTGTTGTTGAACCACTCCACGCACCAGGAGGCACAGTTGCGGCCGAGCCGGCTCTCAGGGCCCTGCCGCGCCATGCTGCCGTAGCAGATGCCCATCCCACAGAAGTTGTTCTTCTGCAGCTCCACCTCCCAGTAGTGGATCCCTTTCTTGTAGCAGTGCAAGCCCAGCACCTGAGAACAGTATGTGAACCTCTGGGGATGTGGCCGGTAGCTCTGGTGTGTTTCGGCCACAGAGGCCACAGTGTAGTTCTCCGAGAGAGCCACCTTGCTGTAGGCAGTGTTGTAGTCCAGGATGACCTTAACAGCATCTACAAAAGCATCGCCCCAAGCAATCAATTACAAGGAGCCCAAGCGCTCTCACTTTTATACCTTTTCTCAACTGGGATTATTACTCATTTGTTTTATCCATTCCCCCATCCATCCACCTACCCATCTATCCATCTACTTACTATTGTATCCATCCATGCATCCACCCACCCATCTATCCATCCATCTGTCCCTCCTCCTTCCATGCATCCATCTATCTATCCGTCCATCCATCAGTCCATCCATCCACTCATTCATCCATCCATCCATAACTGAGGCGTAACTGAGAACACAAAGTTCCAGAGAGAGCAAAAGTCCTTCCATGCATCCATCTATCTATCCGTCCATCCATCTACTCATTCATCCATCCATCCATAACTGAGGCCTAACTGAGAACAGAAAGTTCCAAAGAGAGCAAAAGGGGTAAGATCCAGAGTCCTGGCCGAGGAACTGGCCTTGAGGAAGTGAACAGAGAAAGGAGAGAGAGGGTATGGAGTCAAGTGAGACGGCAATGAGAGGATGAGGGAGGCCCCTTCCGAGCGCCTCTCTTCTCTGTGACACAGAAGCTGGGTGGGAGAGGGAGACGTTATGGTGCGTGGCAAGGCTTTGGAATGGCAGGGAGCCAAAAGGAAAACCAGAGGAGAGAGTTGGCAGTGGGACCGATGGGTTTCGGCAACAGCTACTGCCTGCAGATGCTACTCACACGCCAGGAGCTCAGGTCTGGACTTGGCTAAGAAGTTCTCCAGCACCTTGGCCTTGAGAGACACCGAGTTTGGCTGCACGGGGGTGGGTTTGGCTGCAGCTGGGTGAGGAAAGAGAGAGCCATTTTCAGAACAAATTCAGAGTAGACCTCCCACTGGCCCTCGTCCACAGTAACTCACCCTCAAAGCCAGCTTGTTTTAAATCCCCTAGCTGCTCCGAGGACCCAAAGATGGGAAGTTTGTTGGGTGAGACAGCAGCAGCGGCTGGGGATGAGGAAGAAGGAACAAATGTTGGGGACATGACACAGAGTGACCTGATGGCCTCTACTCCCTTCTAAACTGATTTTCAAGAGTCACTTCTGCCCGGCCAGTGTGGCTCAATAGTTGAGTGTCCACCTATGAACCAGGAGGTCACAGTTCGACTCCCTGTCAGGGCACATGCCCGGGTTGCAGGCACATGTTCGGGCGTGCAAGAGGTAACTGATGGATGATTCTCTTTCATCATTGATGTTTCTCTCTCTCTCCCTCTCCCTTCCTCTCTGAAGTCAATAAAAATAAAATATTTTTTTAAAACTTTAAAAAAAAGAGTCACTTGTACAGACGCACACCTGGACAGCCAGGGCAACACAGGTGAGTCCAGACGGGCTACGCTCACCTGTCGTCACCTCCAACCTGAGAACAGTATGTGAACCTCTTCATTTACACTTGTCCTCACCTCCAACCTGCTATTACAGAATATAATCCTAGAACTGGGGCCCCATCACAGAATCCCGATGAGACAGGTCGGCATTTAGTCCTGCGCTCAGCCTATCTCAAGAAACAAACAGAGCAGAAATGCATAACTTACGAACTTTCTTGGGTTTCTTTTCTTCTTCTGAGAAAAAAAAAAAAAATTCCAGAATTAAGACATTGTAAAGCACAACACAATGATGCTTTCCAAAGACCATAATAACATTCATTTGCATAAATGTGATCCATACTGAAAAAGCTAGGATGTTTTAACTTGACAAAGATAAGGGGTCAACAGGCAAATAGCTCCATGGTGATTGGAGTGGAAGGAGCATGATGGAATTTTCTGGGGTAATGGAAATACTTTATCTTGATGTGGGTAATAATAGTACCACACACGAATGCATTGGTCAAAATTTATCTAACTGTATTTAAGATCTGTTCATTTTACTGGACGTAAATTGTATCTCCATAAAAGGAAAAGTGCAAAAGACAAAAATAGAGTCAGCAAAAGCCACGTGCTGGCCAAGTATCGCAATAGTCCTTAAGAACTATCTGGAGTGTGTGCCTATGGAAACTGACTTAGCGAAAACAGCGGTTCTCCAAGTGTTGTCTTGTCCCAACTAGCAGCATCAGCATCACCAGGAACCCATAGAAAATGCACATTCTCGGGCCCTGATCCAGGCAACTCGAATATCTAATGCTCATGGGTCAGACAGCACACACAGCCCCTCCCAGCACGCAGGCTGCAGTGATTTAAATAATGTTTTTATTTTTCAGTTACAGTAGACATACATTATATTAGTTTCAAGTGTATACCCCAGTAATTAGACATTATATAACTTACTAAGTGATTACCACAATTAATCTAGTACCCGTCTAACACCATACATAGTTATTACAATATTGACTGTATTCCCTATATTGTACTTTACATCCCCATGACTATTCTGTAACTGCCAATTTGTACTTCTTCATCCCTTCATCTTTTTCACCCATCCCTCACCTGCCTCCTATCTAGCAACCATCAAAATGTTCTCTGTATCTATGAGTCTGTTTCAATTCTGGTTGTTTATTTTGTTTCTTAGATTCCACAAATAAGTGAAATCATATGGCATTTGTCTTTCTCTGTCTGACTTATTTTACTTAGAATAATACCCTCTAGGTCAGTGATGGCGAACCTTTTGAGCTCGGCGTGTCAGCATTTTGCAAAACCCTAACTTAACTCTGGTGCCGTGTCACATATAGAAATTTTTTGATATTTGCAACCATAGTAAAACAAAGACTTATATTTTTGATATATATTTTATATATTTAAATGCCATTTAACAAAGAAAAATCAACCAAAAAAATGAGTTTGCGTGTCACCTCTGACACGCGTGTCATAGGTTCACCATCTCTGTCCTAGGAGGACCACTCTGGGGCGTTCCCTCTTTTCTCTGGCTTAAAATGTAGCTGGGGTCGAGTCTTGCCACCAGCACCCGCTCTGTGACCTCTGCACCCTCTCAGCTTCAGAATCTTCCAGCGTACAACGGGAGGAGGCCCTTGCTCATAGTGATGACACAGAGGTGTCCGCCCCTCCCTCCCCCAGACCAGGGACCACTGAGGTAGCAGGGGGGCTAATTCGTCCACAGCTTTATGCTCCTTCATGGGGCCGAGCCCTCCATGAGGAGGTACTGGGAGTCTTCATGGCAGGACCCCTGAAACTAAGTCCCAGTGCTCTGGATCACGGCCCTCTCTTGCACCCCAAACTGCTGAGGGGACCCATCCAGAGTCAGGGGTCTCAGTGGGGTCCGTGGGGAGGTGCGGATGGTTACCTGAGGTGAGGGGCTCCTCGGGCTTCCTGAGGCACCGCTTCAGCTCGGTTTTGAGGTCCGCGGTGCTCTGGCTGACGCCCTTTATCAGCTCGTGATTCAGCTCCACCTTGGGGACGTAGACTGGCTTCGTTGAGACCGCCTGCAGTTGTGCCGCTTTCTGGAACAAGCCCGGGGGTCAGTGCAGGTGGCTCCAGGAAGCCAGGGCCTGGGCTCAGCCTCCAGAAGCCCGGGAGGAGCTGCCCTGTGCCCACCTCACCCACCCCGCCTCCCCAATTATAGTCCCATCAGCCTTCCCAATTCTAGGCCTGAGGTCGCTGGGCATTAAAGTGCCACTTTTAAGACAGTGATCTGGAACTGGAAGGACCCTCAGAGGTTGTTCCCCTGACAGATGGGGAAACTGACGTCTAGAAATGACAAGTGACCTGACAGGAACCCTGGTCACAATTAGTGGCAGGGACAAAGCTGGGACCCAGGTCCCCTGAGCGCCATGGAAAACGCTCCCTCCACTCCTCCAGCTGTGGCTGAGGCAGCACGGGAGACTCAGGACCAGCTGTGAACACAGGTTCTGGGATGGACAGGGAGGTCTCAAGCATGCAGGACTCAGCTAGGGCACATCCGATGAAAAGGAAGGGTGTCTTCCGGGCTGTCCCAAACTTTGAAACAAGAGTCAGGTCACAGGGTATGAAGAGGCCCAAATGTGGGTTCAGAACCCTTCTCAGAGAGCTCGAGGCAGCTACCCCAACACACCGGAATGAGAAGAAGCTAACACCCTCCAGCCTAGGGTGGACCAGCCACTCCTGAACCCTCCCCCGGACCTGAATAAGGAATCTGGGCCTTGGAGGGGTCAGAGCACGTCACCCAATCAGTGGGCTCACCAGAACACCCACTGCATGCCAGGCATTCTGCAAGGGCTGGACATGCCAGGAAGAAGAAAGGTGGCCTTAAAGGCTGGGCCACACTGAACGGAGCTGACAGCCTAAACAGACAGGAAAACACATCTAGCACAACGTCAAGAGCTTCGGCAGAGGTGGGGGGCACGCTCTGATTGTCAGTAATGGCAAAACAATGGGATCCAGGGAGGACGGAGGAAACTGGGGACCCTGGAACATGATCCAGTGCCAGGACGAATGGCGAGTGCTCTGCTGTGGTCACAGCACGAAGCATGGGCTGGGGGTGGGCAGCAAGACATGAGGCTGCTGGCAAAGGCAGGGCCCGGTCATCAAGGGCCTGGGGGCCGTGCTAAGGAACATGAAGTCAGAAAGGGCGGAGGGCTCTGTGCTTTATAAGGATGCTTCCAGCCTGGCTGGCATGGCTCAGAAGTTGACTGTCGACCTATAAACCACGGTTGGATTCCCAGTCAGGACACACACCCGGCTGCAGACTCAATTCCCAGTGTGGGGTGTGCAGGAGGCAGCTGGTCAGTGATTCTCTCTCATCACTGATGTTTCTATCTCTCTCTTCCTCTCCTTTCCTCTCTGAAATCAATAAAAATATATTTAAAAAAAAAAAAAAGACACTTCCAGGGACCATGTGGAGGAGGGATTAGGGAAGAGAGCGAGGTGCATGCAGTAGGCAATATTCCAAGATGGCCCCTAAGAGTCCCACCCCTTCCCAAGGTTACACATCCCTTGACAACAAGCAGGACAGTGAAAGTGAAGCAATTTTTCAGATGTCATTTTTAAAAGTATGTTTTTTAATTGATTTTAGAGAGTGGAAGGGAGAGGGAGAGAAACATCGATGTGAGAGAGAAACATCAATCAGCTGCCTCCTGCATAGACACCCCTCCCCCTTACTGGGGATCGAGCCGGCAACCTGGGCATGTACCCTTTCTAGGAATCGAACTGGCAACCTTTTGGTGCATGGGACGATCGATGTTCAACCAACTAAGCCACACCAGCCAGGGCCCAAATCTGTTGATTTTGAGTTCATCAAAAAGATGAGTCTCCTGGATGGGCCAGGCTTACTCAGGGGAAAGGCCTGAAAAGGGGGGCTGGGCCTTCCTAGAGGGAGAATTTCCCGTTAGCTTTCAAGTAAGCTGCCAAGTTGGGAGAGGGCCATGTGGCAAGGAATTGCGGCAGCTTCTAGGAACGGAGCCTGCACAGCCAGCAAGAAAGGGGGACCTTGGTCCTGCACCACAAGGAACTGGATTTCTCAACCACCAAGGAATGCAGCCCCGCCCACACTCAGAAAACAGCCTGTGAGAGACCCTCAAAAGACAACCCCTTAAGCCACGCCCGGACTCCTGAGCCACAGAAAGTGTGACACAGTCCATGTATGATCTAAGCCGCTGTGTTTGTGGTGAGTCGTCGCACAGCATGTAAAACGAATACAGCCTGTGTGTCAGGGACGCTTTCAATGACCTCTCACAGACCCCACCCCTTGAGGCCCCGTTGCCCCATAATCAACATTGTCATACTGGGCAGGAAGAGTGTTCAACAATGTCCTCATCAAGACCCACCTCCAGAAACTCAAACTCGCCCCCCTTGGTCAGGGCAGCTTCAATCTCCTCCTTTACGGTCTGCATCTCTGCCTTCTTCTTGAGGAGGATCTGGTAAATATTGTCGAACTTGCTGCTGACCCTCTTCTCCTCCTCCTTTATCTTCCGCGTGGAGCTGGCCTCGGAGGCGTCAATGAGCGCCTTCATTTCCAAGTATTCTTGTCTAAGCTGTTCTATCTTCTTTTGAGCAGCCTCCTAAGATGCCAAGACAAGAACACATCCATCAGGCTAACAAAGCTAAGCCTGCAGGACCAAGCATTGGGGAGATGTGGAGCACACAGGGACAGGACCACTTTAGAGAGCAATTTGGCAATTTCTAGTGCATTTGAAGGCGCTCGGACCCTGTGACCCAACAACTCAACTCAAGGAATATACTCCAGGAAAATCCCCACAGATGTGCATGAGAACACTCACAAGCAGCATTGCTTGAATTAGCAGAACCCTGGAAACAGGAGACTGAATATGCAGACTGCGTATTCACTGGATGGAAGATTAAACAGCAATGAGAATTAATGAACTGGGGTGATGCACGGGTAAATCCTATGAGGGACAAACAGCTTGTAGAAAAAGACACACAGTACTGATGCCTTTACAGAAAGCTTAGATACAAACAGGATGGGAGCATTTATTGCCAAAGGGAGGCACACAAACATAAAGCAGTATAAAGAAATCCATGGAAATAAATTCAGGATAGTGGTTGCTTCTGGAAGAGAGGAAGGGGGATATAAAAAGGGAAGGCTTTTTATATAGTAGAGTGAGGGCTTCAGCTGCATTGGTGACATTTTTCTTTCTTTCTTTTTTTTTTTAAATATATTTTATTGATTTATTACAGAGAGGAAGGGAGAGGGATAGAGAGTTAGAAACATCGATGAGAGAGAAACATCCATCAGCTGCCTCCTGCACACCTCCTACTAGGGATGTGCCCGCAACCAAGGTACATGTCCTTGACCAGAATCGAACCTGGGACCCTTCAGTCCGCAGGCTGACGCCCTATCCACTGAGCCAAAATGGTGAGGGCCATTTTTCTTTCTTAAGCTGGGAAGCAGTTCGTGGGCCATTTTTCTGTTTTAAAGAGAGGGTATGAAGCTGCTCTAGAAAATTTCTAGAGAATATCACCCTCAGGAACAGACTGCCCAATTCCATAGCCACTTGCTGGGTGTGTCTACAGAGCACTTGAAAGGTGCCTCGTCCCAATTAAGATGTGCTGTGTGAAATGCACACTGGCTTTCAAAGACGGAGTACAAAAAAAGGACTGCAAAGTCTCTCATTAATACACTTCATTGACTCTGTGTTGAAATAATCACTTTTTGGATGTTTTAAGTTAAATAAAATGTATTACCAAAATTAATTTCTCACGATGTTAAAATTAATCTGACGTTACAGATAAGGCTCATGTTGTATTTCTATTGCACAGCAGTGCTCTAGCTCAGAATCAACATGAAAACAGAAATGTACACGAGATGGGCAATGTCCAGGGAGACTGAAATTCAGTTATTTCTTTACCTAACCCCTTACACCCTGCCATCTCCAATGTGACTGCGAATGGCCCCCAGTGCTCATTCTCAGGAAGAGAGCACCCCTGGAGTCTCAGGAGGGCACATGGCTGCGAAGCCACGGACTACATTTCCCAGCCTCCCTGCGGTGAGGCTTGGTCATGTGACTAAGCTGCTCCTAATTCGGTATGAGCAGAAGTGATATACATGAGCGGAAGTGATATACGCAACACTCTTCTTACTTGTTGCCCTTCTGGCAGGCTAGAACAGAGATGGAATGGTGACTCAGCTTCAACCAACCAGGTGCGTGGGCTGATGCTCTAACCATTCAGCCTACTGGTCAGGGCTCAACACTAATTTTTAATGATTCCCCCAACGCTGGGCTTGTAGCTAGTCTTCTGTTTGGGTCTATGAAGGCTCTCTCCTGGGCACATAGCTTCTGGCATGTTTTACAAGGTTGACGTTTAATTCTGACACTGAATGAACCCACCATGAGCCTTGTGGAGATCCCAGCTGAGCCTGTCCTGCCTGGAGGCGGAGGGAGGCCCAGGGCCAGTGCGGGTGGTGGAGAGCCCTGCCACTCACCCGCACATCCTTCTGCCTGGCTCTCACATCCTCCAGCGCTCTCGTGGCACCGTTGATCTGACCGTACATGACTGTCAGTTTATACCTCAGCTTGTCCTGTGGGGAAAACAAAACAGGGTGAGAGAACACGTGGGCCCAGCCCCCACCGGCACCCAACACCGAACCATCCCCTGAGCCTATCCCACAGGGGGTGTTTCCGCCACCCCAAGTCTTGCCTGCTTGTAGCCTTTTTCAGCATTCTCATATTCACTACCTCCCTTCATCCTCTTAGGGAGACAGTGCTGTAAATACAGGATTTGGAGCCAGACAGACCAAGGTTCCAGTCCCAGTTCCCAGCTGTCCAATTGCCTCTCACCTCAGTCTCCTTGGCCACTAATGAGATACAGCTGTTCCCACCTCACAGGGCTAGTAGGAGTAACGTGAACAACCCAGAAACAACAGAAGTCCTCAGCCCACTCAGTAAGGTATAAACTACATGTCAGCTTGTATGATGATGCGCTTTTTCACCAGCACCCATTTCACAGGTGATGAAACTAAGGCAAGGAAGACCGCAAGGTGGTCAAGCTCACAAAGAGGAGACAGAGCGAGCTGGGACAGCTGCTTCAGTCATGGCAGATGAGGTCATTCCGAGCAACCCTCCCCACCACAAGCAACCAGAAAAGCAGGCAGGGAAGGGTTACAGAGCCAAGATCCAGGAGAAAGAAACCCGGAGAGATAAGCCTGGCGTCTGGGGTTGTTTTCCCAGAGCCACCTGCCAATTCCAGAAGACAGCTGCGAGCGCCTGTCAGCTCAGGGAGGCAGGGGGACAAAATCAGAGTCCAGAGCTCACTTGGTCAGCCCCACAGGCGGGGACCTCCAAGGGCCACACCCTAAGAATGAAGAATAAACCAGCAATAGACCAGCCCACCGTCAGCTCAAGTCCCTGACATTGAATTAAGGTGATTCAGAACTGCTAGGCCCCTAGCCACCTGCAGAAACAAAGATACATTACACATGAAGGAAGATAATAGCATCCACGGCCTCTTACTATTTCTATAAATTTTCATAATATCTTAGTCCCTACCTCCCTGCTCAGGTGAAATGTTGGGGCATAGAAATGGAGAGGAAAATAGCCACCACCACCGTCAGAATCACAGGGAGTGTTCATTACGTGGCTGCTGCAAGCCAGGCATTGCTCTAGTGCTTTGCTTGTGTTGAAGCTAAGGGCAAAACCGTGAAGTTGGGGTTACCTGCCCTCTACAGAGGAGGCCACTGAAGCACAGAGTAATTAGGTGGTTTGACTGACGTTACGTCGCTATTAACTGGTGTTACGAGATCCTAGTGTTACAATTAGACATGCGTCCAAATGGAGCACACAGAATTTCTAGGGGGAAAAAAACATTTTACTTCCCCTAATTAGCTGGTTCAACATACTCTGACCCGCCCTTCCTCTTTCCTGCCTCTCCCAGGCCACTAGAGATATTCAGGGCTGAACCTGACCTTGAATGAAAGAGCAGAAGCAGAGTCCAAGGCCACACTAACTCGACCCCGAAAGCCAAGTCACTAATGATGTTTCAGACTCAACCTCTGTGACAATGCCCTTTGAGCTGGCCTCTCAGAGTGGCCAAGACAAACTGGGCCAAAGGCTGAAGGCCATGCCCGCACAGGCCACGCCTAGCAGGGCTCAGAGCTAGAAGAAACCTCTAGACCCGGGCGAGAGGGGCCTCCCACCGTTTGGCCTCTGAGAGGCAGAGCCACTCTTAGTAGTGAGCTCCCAAACTCTAGATTTTGAAAGGTTTTATCCACCATTAACCAAACAGACTTAATAGTCCCCTGATGGTGGAAAGGGGCCCACACCGCTCCAGACAAAAGGAAAAAGGAAAAAGGAAAACGGTCCAAGGACTTTAATAGCCACAATTCCCTAATTGAAGGAAGTTCTAAGGATCTCTCATAGCCTGGGGACTTGGGTCCTCCACGTGGGAGGTACCAGCGGCTTGAGTGATGGAGACAAGCCAGCCGCCCGAGGCTGCGGCACTGCCCAACTGGGGCTGGCTCTGCCACCAGCAATGAGCAGAGCAGCAGGGCTAGAAAGGAGAGTGGTTGAAGGTCTTGGCCAGGACAATGGGGAAGGGGGAGGTGGTGGGGACAGGCCTGTTACAAGAATCAAAAAGCAAAGCGTGCCCTAGCCGGTTTGGCTCAGTGGATAGAGCCTCGGCCTGCGGACTGAAGGGTCCCCAGTTCAATTCCAGTCAAAGGCACGTGCTTGGGTTTCGGGCTCAATTCCCAGTAGGGGGTGTGCAGGAGGCAGTCAATCAATGATTCTCTCTCATCATTGATGTTTCTATCTCTCCCTCTACCTTCCTCTCTAAAATCAATAAAAATATTTAAAAAAACAAAAACAAAAACAAAGCAAAACGTGCCCAGCTGCAGTTGAGCTCAGCAGTTGAGCATTGACCCAGGAACCAAGAGGTTGCCAGTTTGATTCCCTGTCAGGGCACATGCCCCAGTTTCGGGCTTGATCCCCAGTAGGGGTGCCATAGGAGGCAGCTGATCCATGATGTTCCTCTCTCATTGATGTTTCTATCTCTCTACCCCTCTTCCTTCCTTTCTTTCTCTCTCTAAAAATCAATATATTTCTTTTAAAAATGAAAACGTGTATGGCATTCAAATAAACTGGGTGCAGACTCCAGCTCTGGGCCCTGGAGGTTGAGAGAGCTATGGATCAGGGGCAGGCTAAGAAGGGCCCTCCTGCCCCTACTTGCCTCCTGCCTCCATGGATAAGAACTTCTAGAAGGGCCCTTGGGCAGAGGCAGGCTGCCCCAGTCTTCAGGGACAGGCCCAGGCACCTTCTCGAGGCACAGATCTGGGCAACCTGACACTCTGCCCAGCAAGCTCTCCTCCTCCCTGGGTGGAGTAACAGAAATGAACATTCACTGGGAAATGCCGTTTATAGGCCGCTTCATTTAATCCTCCCGATAACCTTCTGAGATGAGTACTATCATTATCCCCTTTTACCAATTCCCAGCTAGGAAGCAGCCAGAATTCAAACCCAGGTCTCAACATCCAGCTCTGGCTGGAGCCCTGTCAACCAGCCACTCCCACCCCGCCCACAAAGCACTTCCCAACAGCTCCTCTCTCTGCAGCCTCCCAGCCAGGGGAACGCAGCCAATCCCATTGAACAGAGAACTGCAGCGACTTGCCCTAACCCACAGCTGATAGGGGCAGAGCAGGCTCCTATGACGAACAGAGAAGACCCAGGTGGCTGGGCCTCAGATGGTTGCACCTCAAAGGTCAACTCCCCCACAAGGCATGGAGGTCTGACTTCTGAGAACCCAGCTCAGATTGGGAGGAGCAGGCCAGGTGGGGGAGGGGCTGTGGTCAGAGAAAAGCAAGGCCTGCACCCAGGTCCTGGTGCTATGGTTGCACCTCAAAGGTCAACTCCCCCACAAGGCATGGAGGTCTGACTTCTGAGAACCCAGCTCAGATTGGGAGGAGCAGGCCAGGTCGGGGAGGGGCTGTGACCAGAGAAAAGCGGCCACAAACCTCCCCAAGGCTCAGGTCTGCTTTGACAACGCGAAGACAGTCCCTGTTCTCCGTGACAGGGCTGGGAGAATGAAAGGACATCAAGGCGCGCTTTGGAGCTTAGACTGATATAACAAAAGGTAGATTGGTTACACCTTTTTATTTTTTTAAATGTTTTAGTGATTTTTTTACAGAGAGGAAGGGAAAGGGATAGAGAGTTAGAAACATGGGTCAGCTGCCTCCTGCACACCCCCTATTGGGGATTGAGACCAGAATCGAACCTGGGACCCTTCAGTCGGCAGGCTGAGGCTCTATCCACTGAGCCAAACCGGTTAGGGCTGGTTACACCTTTTCATCCTCTGACACAGGCGGAGGTTCTGGCCCCCCCGATACCACTAAAGTCATTACAGACCTAGAAAGCCCCTTAGAAATCAACCTGGTCCCACCTCCTCACTTTACTGAGGAGGACTCAGGCCCAGGGGCCAAACCCTGTCTCACAATCACACAGCCAGAATGGAGGGCACTATGTTGCAAGAGCGCTGGCTCTCCCGCAGGTCGGTAGGGTCCTATCCAAGCCCTCCCACTCGCAGGGATCCTCCCTAGTCACTGGGACTCTCCAGCTCCTCAATGACTCTTGCTCATATGACCTCCACCCTCCAGGAGAGTCCCATGCCCTGGACTCTGTAGACTTGGTTATGAGGCTGGTACCTGAGGAGGACGGGCAGACTGTTGGTGGGCCACTTACTCCGTTACTCAGGCTAAATTAGCTTCTGCGGAACTCCATCTGCTCTCCTGAAAAATGGAACTAATGATACCCACCTCCTGGGTGTTGCCAGGATTTAATGAGGGAACAGAGGGAACCTCCCGGGTTCGTATTTGAGGGTTCAAAACCCTCTATTAACAGCATCAGACAAGCACTAACTAGGGCTTAAGGCAAGCAACATCACCCGTGTCTTCTGCCCCAGATCTCAGGCTCAGCAAAGCCCATGCCCCGGCTCAGGTGATCCAGCGT